AAAAGACAATGAAATGATTTCTTGACATGTGTCTACTGCTTTCTGGAGATTTTTTAAAAATAAAATGAAGCAATTCTTGCAAAACGATCTATTATTTTTTGGTCTTTTATATATATATACATATATATATATATGTTTTTCTTGGTTAGCGTCTCTTACCCTACTAGAGCCACAGGTTAAAATTTTGCACCAAGAGAAACAATCCAATAATTCTTTGAGAGTATAACTCATCAATTTATTTTTTTGTTTCTATTTATTTACTTTTTTTTTAGACGGAAAAATTTCCAATTGAAGCAGTAGTTAGAAGTTCAAGAGACATTTTATTGAAAATTGCAAGGGTCAGCGTTACGATTATCTCGAAAAACGTAATTTCGATAAAAATTCGTTTAAAACTTCAAGTTTAAAGAAGTTTATGTATTGTCTACAATCTGCGATGCACACACGATACAATTGACTTACTGGACTTGAACATTTCAATGGGTTTTGCAGGATTGTGAATAGAATCCCGTTTGTTCGAATATCTGTAATCCATCTACACGTCTATATATTAGAAAAATCTTACTATGAAAAACTTACAGAAATTTGTATCTTTAATTTCCTTTCCGATCAGTTAATATTGTCAATATGTAATATACAGTAAAAGCTCCTTATTCGCGAAGTACACGTTCCATAAAAATGCCGCGAATACAGAAACCGTGAATACGGACTGATAATTCATATGGGATTATAGGGGATACGTTCCTAGGTGACAAAATAAAAAAAAACAAAATTCAATTTAATTGAAGTTTTTGAACTTTTTGATTAATTATCTTAAGGCTTATCCGCCTGGGTGGCCGAGTAGGCAAGTGTCTCGACTAGCAACTCAGTGGTCGTGGGTTCGAATCTCAAGTGCGGTAGAGTTTTCAATAAAGGCCGATAGCCTTAGATGCTAGTGCTTTTAAGAGTTTAGTCTTAGAATTTATTTCTCTGGCGAAATTAATAATAATAATAATAATATCTTAAGGCTTAGGCAACGATTTGAAGAATTTTGTAACTTCCTCTTGCTTGGCAGTTTTTAAAAACTCCTTCAAGTCGCATTAGTCATTTGCTTTTTAAAAATAAGACTTCGTTCCATAGCCGGATCAATGTTCATAAAGAAATCGCTGAGCTCATTTGCTAAGACTTTTCAAATTAAATGTCACGTTCCCAGTGCTTGTTGAAAGCTTCTTCTTCGAAGGGCTATGAACTTAACATTTCCTCCAAGTCGGTTTCAGTCAATACTTCATCTTGCGGATTCAAGCAATTCGTGAATGTGACTTAATTCTATCTGCTCGAATCCATCTCCTCGTCCTATTCCGTTCGCGATTTCGACAATGTTTGCAGTCAAAGTTTGAACTTGCACAGATTCTTCGTCATTTTCCGCAGTCAGAGCAGGCCACAGTTTTTTCCAGCATGACCTCAATGTGTGTGACTTGAGTTCTTCCAATGATTCTTTTATGTTTACGATGCATTTTGCTATGTCAAATTTCTGGATTATTCCTTTGCCCATAGGCTGAAGCGAAGCCGTCGTGTTGGGAGGTAAAAACTTCACTTTTACGTTTGGATGCATAGTTTCAAGTTCGCGAGAATGACCTGGTGTATTGTCCAAAACTAGAAGTGCTTTAAAGTCTAAATTCTGTTTTTTTTAAATAAGTTTCAACCTCAGAAACAAAACAATTCCGGAACCAGTCACAAAAAATCCGCGAATAAAGAAATTTTTAGCCGCGAATATGAGAATTGGGTCGCATTTTTTTAATCCGCGAATAAGGAGCTTTTACTATATTAAGAAATCTTATTGTGGTTAATGGTATAATGGTTTCATTGATTTTGTCAGGTCATTTCATCATTAAATCATTTAGGCGATTAATTTCGCTTAATATAAAATAAATAAAAATAAAATAGAAGCAAAAAAAATTATTGACAATTTCAAGAGCAGGCCGTCCTTTTGTTTTTTGATGAAAAATAGGCTCGGTTTTTCTGTTCTGGTAAAATGGATTCCAATGAAATTTGACTGAAATCAAAATTTTTGTTTTGATATCAATATTTTTTATATGACGAAGTAATTATCGCTGAAAGGAACTTTAGTATTTACACTAGACACCACTTGTGGTACAGGGTACATTAAGTTAGTGCGGACATATGTAACACCCAGAAGGTGCTAAGATAGACCCACATTTTATTATGCCGATCGTTTCAGAATCATTTTATGCTTCGATCTAAGCGCATCTGCCCATCTGTTTTTTTTGTTTTCAATCTATAGGTCGCAATTTTTGAGATATTTTGATGATAAGGACGAACGCTATTGAAAATGGTTCGGATGGGTTCACTTTTTCGACCACACCCTATATAGGGAAAAATTGCAATTTTTTTAAATTTCTCGACAAAAATGGGTACGGATTAGTATTTCGGCTTTTTAAATTCTGGTGTGAAAACATTGGATGGGGAAATTTTTTGAACCCCCTATCATATAACCCTTCCTACAGAAATCGAAGCTTCATATGGTGTAAAGGTCGAATATCCAAAATCTATGGCGAAAATTAGCTCATAATAGAATTTGCACTGCATAAGTCTATTTTTTGGATATCCCCGCATATAGGGATTCTCATGACACATACACCCTTGTACGCTAAAAAAGCCTAATCGTTTATATTTTTTTTTTTTATGAAAATTTATTTGTGATAGTAATTAGACAAAAAGAAATTAAGTGGACCTAATTTTCGGCAGGTGGGTGTACTACTTGTCTTTACTCCATATAAAATATCCTATAAGGAGTAACTCCGTCGGACAAAGGATTCATTTTTAATATTTCATGATGAAAAATAGTTCATAGTAGAGTTTCAGCAAGAAAATTAACTGTAGGGAATTTAGGTCACATAGGACTACTTTTTTTGGACACCAACATGTGTAGGCGCTATCATGAAACGCAAACGAGAGAAAGTCTAACCTTCCAATATGCGAACTTTCAAGACAATTATGACTTTGCGTGAAAGTAATGTGTATTTTAACTGTACAAGCCGAACTGGTAAAGTCGTGGTGGTAGAGTAAGTAATAGTCGGCATTGCCCGATTATAAAGTGCTTACTTGTTTTAAGGTTATTTACTATGTCAAAGGCAGCGTGGATGAGGAGATCTATAGAAATTTTATTCTTTTTAAAAGACAATACTTTTTATTACAAGTCGATTGCAAACACCTGAGAAGATTTCTCTAAAGCAGTTGAAGAAAAAGTAGTCGTGTGGTAGCATTTTGCGTGATACCCAGGCAACTCCAAATTAAGTACTTGCGAACACTTCTATTAAATGACCCGATGAATGGACAAATTTCTTCCGTTTCTGTAGAACACTTCCAATGAAGATAACCGTACATAAGCAGAACATAGTTAAGATGTCGACAATCATGAGTATCTAAGCGCTTTGCTGCTGGAGATTGTCTAGGCTAGTTCTGGAAGCTTCCGCCCACATATAGGCGAATTGTATTCTTATCGTGGGCAAATATTGGTCACAATGAAGAAATTTTTGTACCGTCTAAAAGAATGTAACCAGCCGACTGCTTTTATTGATATATCTTAGATTTGTGTTCGGTTCAAGGGACTTCACTTCGTATAATCTACTGTTCAGAGTAGGAAAACCTGTCGATGGCAATCGCTATCAGGGGTCATATCTTGAATTGTGTAAAAATCATTTTTCACTTCATTTATTCATTTGTTAAGTGACTATAAACCCATAAATAGGGGCCTATTTCCTAGTTACATAGATACATTTCATATGCAAAAAGAATACAAGTCACCTAGTTGTCCGTAACGAAAAAATGTAACCACCTACATCGAAAGATTTCAGACATAATATCTAGCGACACAAACAGTAAAATATCAATCGGCTGATGAGTTAGAAAGACATGGATTTAATATGAAAGGGTTTCTATTCGATTTAGAGAAATGCACTCGTTTTATTAAATGGCTTGAGGATTCAGATTGAATGATTTTATCGAGCAATCCAAATTTTACATTTACAATTTTTGATTTAAGAGGTCAGACAACAAAAAATTCCACAGTAATCAAAAGAAAAAAAAAACACTTTAACTTGCAATCTTTAAGAAGCATTGGTCTCTAAAAGCTTGATGTCAATATTCCCAAGGATCGATGGTTATTTATATAAATAGAGATATATTTTGGAACTCTTATATATTGGTTTGAAGGTGGTTGCAGGGGTTTCGTAGCTGTTTTAGGATTTTCAATATCAAAACTTTAGAAAAAAGGCGATTTGAACAGTTTGTACAGAGTTCGAATTTGCTGTTGTGAGAGAGTTGCGCTATTCGAAGATGACTGTTAAGGTAAACCGAATTAAATTAAATAACGAACAGATACAAACATCACCGAGTATTAATAACTATTATCATTCGGTCGTATTATTAGCTTCTTTTTTTTTTTTTTTTCTTAATTATGTAAGGGTTCCATGTTAAGTTTAAGAGTTTTAAACTTTATAATATTATCGAAAAGTACATCAACAATATGAGATAATTTCAGATGAATTTGTTAATAAATAATTTTTGGTATATTCCTTAAATAACTGACATAATAATCTGCGGTATGTCAAGGTAACAGATCAAATAAAGAAAACTTCATTTTTTTTTTTCGAATTTATTAATGTACCTTGAAAAAAAGGGTAATCGAAAAAATCTATATACAGTTAGTGCATAAAAAAAACTATTAATAAAAGAAAATATAAAAATAATCAATCAAATAATTAAATAAATTTATGAAAAGGAATTTGTTTGCGTTTAAATCGATACACATTTCTTCGTGTATGCTAATTAAATATTTAGTTATTAATTAATTAGTTGGTTTTGGTAAGATAAGCTCTACAAAAATATATATCTATATATATATACATATATATATATATATATATATATATATATATATATATACATGTGTGTGTATTTATATGTATACATATATATGTATATTTGTAATTATGTATGTATATGTAAATAAGTATGTAATTGAGTTTTGTATATCCGTTAACTCTTCTTAATTTGTTTTTAGTTCCATTACTATTAAATCGATCGTACAAATCATATTTTATTTTCTTCTATTATATGTACAAACAAAAGCAACTAAATCTGGCCCGCACTTTATATGCGTAAGAAATTCAATAAAATGTATCTTCCTTTTATTTTGAAGGAGACCAATAATACAAAGAAAAAATAATGGTTTATCTGTTTTATCTTGATCTTGTTTATCTTGTTGTTTCTGTATGGCCAAAAATACCTGATATCAAAAGAATAACTGGCAGATTCTGACACGAACTTTTAAGTCCTGCTTTGCACTTTTAATATTAGTCTCAAAAGTGTGCCGCCTTTCGCTTAGGAATTTTTATAACATACCGTGTATTTTGTTTTGTTGCTGGCGTTAAGGTTTCACCTTCATTATTTAAGCAACCGAATCGCCGCTAGATTTCAAGTCACGTTCTCGGAAAAACCCTCTTTCAGTTTTGCATTCACGTATAGTTACTGTTTCAAAGTTGACCGTTACATCAGTTATAACCACATTGTCGGATATATTGCATTTGGTGGGCAACCACCAGCGTGGCGGTAAGGCCTGAGGTGAAAGAGGAGTTAAAGGTGTTGTAGTTGTTGTTGTGGATGATGGTAGCGGTAGTGGAGGTTTAATTGAAACGTTATCATGATTATTATTATTGTTATTACTATGGGAGTTGTTGTTATTATTATTTTCATTTTCATTTTGACTGTCCGCTTGTGAAGACGCCTCGTCATCTTCGTCATTTCCAACGTTGTTGTTATTTTGTCCGTTAAATTGTTGAGGTTTCTCTAATGGCGTAGCTTGTTCAGGCCGTGAAGCTGGCGTTTCAGGTGATAAGGGTTCCGTTTCGGTTTTTAAGGGTGTTGAAATCGGCGTAGCAGTATCAGCCGAACAATGGACTTTAGCTGGCGGCGGATTATCAGGAGAAGTTTTAATGGTAACACCAATTTTTCCTGATTCTTTCAGTACTTCGGCTTTACGTTTAGTTCCCACTTGCAAATCCTTTCGACTTAATGGCTGGTCTTCTGAACTAGAGGAATTTGTGTCAGCCTCGGGTAAAAATGTTAGGGTAGAAGAATTTGATGACGCATGTTCGCCAGCCCTATTTTGTCTTTTTCCGATTTCCCCATGACCATGTGGTGATTCCGAACGTCGACTCGAAGAACGCTCCAACTTCGAACTATGGTGATGATGATGGTGATGATGATGGTGCTTCCTTTCTTTTTCTTTATCTTTTTCTTTGTCATGGTGATGGTGATGATGGTGATGATGATGATGATGATGATGACTATTGCTAGTATTAGTTGTTAAATTTGACGACGAAGTGGAAGCATGATTTATCTCATTATCATCAGCCACAAAAGTGTATTCATCTTCCTCGGATTCGGGTTCAGGATCACGTTCTTTTTCTTTTTTCTTTGGGCCGCGCTTTGACGGTGTACTAGAGGATTTATTGCTTTGTTCATAAATTTCAATAAGTCGTCGATCTAATATATTAACTTCAGGCTCCCATGTATTGTAACGTTGATTCCAACCTTTCCATTTGACGCGATATTCCACGACGCCCTAAAAGAATTCAAAATGTATTACAATAAGTTTTTAATGACCTATCTGGTTTTTTTTTTTTACGTTATCAGAAAAAACAAAGAAACAAAATTTGCGCGCTTTTATTTTTCTATCCAACCTAAATATATATATGTAAACATATGTAAGAAAAAATTCTTGCTGTTGTTTTTTCCTTTTTTTTTTTAACATCAAATAAAGCGAACAGGGTATTTTGCAAACGGAAAATATGTACAAAAAAGAAGAACAAGGACATAAACTCAGACGTGAAGACCTAAGAAGTAACAGCTGCTGAAGGGTATAACGCCTTATTCATCGAAAGCCGACAATAATTTAATTAAAACAATAGTACAAATACGTGAACTTAGGAGACAATAGGCACCTCACTCATTACCAAATAATTTGTAAAAAAAAAATAATAATAAAACGGACGAACTCATAACCAATAAGAAGGACATATGGCACATGAGACCAAATAATTGATCACTCTGAAATAGGAACAGTAACAAGGATAGCTACTTAAGTTTTTTTTTTCTTTTAATAAAAGCTGAAGAGCATGAAAAGCGGGACAGCTGGCAGCAGGTGTTAAGAGAACTTAAAAAAAAAAGTCATTTTTATGCTTGGTTTTTTTAAAGTAAAAATAATGTGATAGTTTTAAAAATGTTTAATTTGTTTTTAATTCACCTTTCTAACGCGTTTTTGTATTATACGCTCCGCAGCGTAAACGCGATCATCTGAACTTCCCATTATATTATCCAGTTTGGCGCTTTATTTTTTACTAACCGCACGCAGTAAGAATTACTTATAAATTATTAATAAATTATATTTACAATTTTTAAAATTTCTTCTTATTCCGGTTAGGCGTTTAACACTTCATTTACTTATTAGGCATTGTATTTTCTAAATAAGACAATAGTGAAAATCTGTTTTATTTTGTTCTTTCCTTTTAATTATATTACTACTACACTTTTTACAACAGCATTCTTTATTAAAAAACTCCTCACAATAAATTTTAATGTCTAGCAACAAAAACAAAATAGAGAAAGCAAAAGAAAAAAGGTAAAACGTCCTTCATTGCTTGCACTGATTATCTCTTTTATTCTTATTATTAAGTGCTTGCAAAGCAAAAATTTTATTATTAAGCACTAAGTTCTTACTCTTTCTGTTTGTAATTGTTTGCATTATATTAACAGCTATAACTACAGCACAACTTTTTTCTACTCTTAAGGCAATACGTATATATTTTGCCCTTAATTTCCGTAAAAAAAGTATTTGATTTGTTTTTACTGAAAATTAAGTAATAGTTTCTTTCGATTTTATTTTTGCTGCATTAAATTTGATTTCTTTGTTCAATTAGTATATAATTTCTTTTTTAGTTTATATAAAAATTATGCTTATAGAATTGTTTACTTGAAATTTTCTACGCCTTTCTTTTGCTCGCGTCGGTTTAGGCTTACCATAACAAAATTTTGCAATACGAATATATGGACGTGAAATAGGAAAAATTTGTATAATATTTACTAAATTTAATAATGCGACGGCAACACTGTACTCTCTTACTTGAGTTGAATGTATCAATAACGGTATCTAAAGAGAGAAAGGATGGATTCCTTTATGAAAAAATAAAAAAACAAATAAAACTAAATGAATTGTTTTATTTCTTTTACTCAAATTAAGGATAAATTTGTGCTCTTGCTATATGCCGTAACGAAAAGTCGGTCAATGTATTGCCAAAATGTCAAAGCCATTAGCACCAGACAGTACAAGAATAGATTTAACTGTGAAAACTGCTATAAAAAGAAAAAACAGTAATAGAATAAAACTCAAAAATAATTCGATAATAGAATAATTTGTACATATGTAGTATATATAGTAATATATGAATAAAAATAAAAATGTTATCGTATTAATACGCAAATAAATATCGTTGCCATTGAAAGGATATAAAAGCAATAAAATATTCTTTTTCTACGCCTTCAACTTGTTAAAGAAAGAACAAAAAGATGTTACTGTGATAGTGTTAACGGAAGAATTAGTAAACAATGACCAAATTCTTATAATGAAATAAAATAGCTTTAATGAAATTAAAAAAAAAAGAAAAAGTAATCACATTATATTCAAAAGTTAAATAGGAAGCGTATGCCTGTCTAACTAATGCTCTAAAAATGATTAGCTTACACAATTGATTGCAATTTGAATAAAGATGAAAAACGTATAAAATAAAATAAAAATGTAATTTAACCCTTAAAAATTGTGCTTTAAATGTAAACGAAACACCAAATTTTTAGAAAATTTTTCTAGT